ATGGGTCTGGAGAATGCCTCACCAAGAGTTTTGGCTCAACAGATTGCAGCAAACTGTGAAGCATGGTGGTTTCAGTGAGATGGTTTGAGGAGCTATGTGGGTTGGTGGGAGATCGAGCTTAGTGGAGTGCATTGGCAACATAACTTTTGCGAAGTACGTTGAAATATTGGAGGAAGGACTCTTTATTCCTTGGGTTTTGTGGACAAGAACACAACGTTGTTCCAAGAAGATGTAGCACCATGTCACACTGCTAGAAACACCCAAAAGTGGCAGAAAGAAAATGGTATCCAGAAGCTGCCCTGGCCAAGCCAATCTGCTGACATGAACCCCATCAAAAACCTCTAGGCCATACTCAACCGGCAAGTCAAGAAACAACCAAAAAAACCAACTTCGAAGAGCGATCTACTCCAAGTTTTGAAGCAAGAGTGGGCGAAAATCTTACAATCTAAAATTGACGAGATGATTCTCACGATACCCCAAAGGATCAACGAACTCCACGAAGCAAAAGAAAGATCTACTAGATATTAATTAAATTATAAATATATCAATTCATGTGAATATGACTGAAAAAGTTAATTTTTTCTGAAAAGGTGTTGTCTATTTACTTGTGACCACGCTGTGTACATTTAGGTTTGAATTAAATATTCAGTTTTAATATTACTATACAACACTTTCTAGTAGGTGTTTAATTATGAGAAGGACAATAAAAGTTTAAATGTGTCAAAATTTATATATATCATGTAAAAATTAAATTGCCTTAAGTTACCAGTTAGATTATCTTGCTATTATGCATATCATGTTTATAGTAGCATTGCTTGTAAGCTGTAATTAATTTTTAAACCTGAAGGGGGAAACTAATCCATACCTTTCTTGTTGGATCATCTAGGTAACAAAGAAGCATCTTATCAAACTGTCTTCTTTTTTCATAAAGATATTCACACACCCTAAAGCTAGAAAATAATTAATAAACACTTAAGTATAATGAAAGGGCTATGAGAAAAACAAAGATAGGTATAGGTGTATTAGGTGATAATTTTCACAACTGTTGGTTACTTCATAAATTGACTTTTAAATAGAACAAGCTTGCAATATTTTCTTGTCTGCAAACACTCATTTCTCATAGTAAGAGAAGACTGTGTTTTAGATTCTTGTTTTCACAATTATCAAGTACAGTTTAATACTATCATACCTAGATGGGTGCATCTTGCTTCAAGAGCAACGTTGCACCATTGAATTAAAAAAATTATAAAGAATGAACTTGTAGTCATCCTTACACACAATTAAAAAACTTCAGAGTTTAAATGTATTCAATAAAAAAAAATTTTCTTCATTTAATTTCATACATAAAAATATAAAAAGAATCTGCAAATTTTGATTTAAGGTTGATTTCAGCTATCCCTGAATGTAAACATTAGTTATTTTGAATTTCTTGAATATTTTTCTTAGCATGATATGGCACTTGTGCCTACTTAGGAGGATAGTTGAAACAGTTTTGAACAAATAGCACTATATGACCTTGTAACTTCAATACAATTATAGTTTTATCAATTTTAGTCAATCACTGTTTCTCAACCTCAGTCATCATGTTTGTCATAGTGTGATGCAATTGTCTATATATCAGTTTGAGAAATTATAGGCTAGTGATCTAAATCACATAACAAAGTCTCTTTTTCTGTTCTTTTTAACTGTACAAATCAATGTGGCTTTCATTTCGACAGAGATTTTTGTAAACAACGGTAAAAATGATAAAATTTAGCATGGTGATATGTTGTTAGAAGAAAAGTTGTTTCTGAACAAAGTTCACCACAATTACAGTACTCATTATTTGTTTAAGCTCGCAAAGAAATCTTGCTTTATCATTTTATACCTTATTTGAATTATGGTTTTTGCAATATGATGAGAAATGTTTTTTTGTGGAACAAGATTAGATAGGCTTAGTTAGGTCATTTTGCTCTTGACCATATCAAGTCTTGTTTCACTGACAATGCAACTGTGTTAGGCCATGTTTACAGCATGTCTTATCAGTGTAAGTAACTGTATGAATTGACAATGACAGATAAAATCACAGAAAAGAAGTGTGGGTGTGCGTGTATAAAATAGGTTTATAAAACAACGATACAACTTTACACAAAAGTTTTAGAAGATCATAGGAAGACTTACAAATCAATAATTCAAAATTACAACAAAATATTTTTTAGTTTTTCAAAAAATATCACAATGAAATCTTTTCAAATATTCAAAAATGGAAATTCATACAAACGTCATATATAAAAATTAGATATTTTATTTCGAAAAGCTACATAATCTGTAGAAAGTTCATCTCAGGTTTTAAACTATTTCATTGTTTGTTATGAATTTCGTGCAAAGCTACACGAGGGCTATCTAAGCTAGTCATCACCACCCATCGCCAACTCTTTGGCTACTCTTTTACCAGCGAATAGTGGGATTGACCATCACATTATAATTCCCCATGGTTGAAAGGGCGAGCATGTTTGGTGTGACAGGGCTTCAAACCTGTGACCCACAGGTTGCGAGTCGAGTGCCCTAGCCACCTGGCCATGCCGGGCCAAACTATTTCATGAAGTAGTTGTTTTTTTTCTCTATAAACATAATAAGACAAACTATAACCATACAACAAGTGAGTAAATTCTGTGCATCTGGGCATTCGAGAATTAAAGATAACAGAATAATTTAATCATGGCTTCTACTATAATTAAATGTCCCCAAAATGAAGGTGCACTTATATGAATAGACCTCAATTTTTTTATTATAATATATTAATTAGTTTCCACACCTTTGTCCATGAACTTGCTCTGATATGTAATTCTTCCTTATTATAGATGAATATAAGTTTGTTAAAAAGGTGCATTCTGAAATAATGCAATGGACCCTTTAATATAGATACCTGACATTAACTACATATATTATGATCACAACTGTTAAATAATGCATTTGTCTGCAAAATGAAAACTGATTTGGGATGATTTTTCAATCACTTTTTAATACCAACAGTATGTCCAATTTCAACTTGTATACTTACAATTTAGCCTTTTCTGCTAGTGTTAATAGTCGAGCCTCATTTACTTGAGCCAAACCCCCAGCCTGAAGTAACTCCATTAAAGCTTGCTGTCTTTCTTCTATTCTTGTTTCATCTCCTGGATTAGTCAAGTACTCAAGAACCTATGGGGCCAGTCACAAATTAATAAAATTTTCAAAATCTCTAACATATAAAAGTTGATAACCGTAAAGATGTCTGATACTAATTCTAACCTACTAATTCTAAATGGCACTGTAAATAAATATGAAAAGCAAAAATTCAGGACTTTCTTTTTTTGTCGAAACTATTTGCAGGGATATAAGTATAACCACCATTACTATCAATGACACCATAAAACTTAGTAAGACAATGTAAGCACTTCCAATTTTTTATAACAAGAATGATTACATAAACAGCTGTTGTTTTATAAAACTTACAAGAAATTCATTTGATTCTGTCTAACATTTCATGTTGGTATTGTTAGCCTTTGTCAGGAAAAACATAAGAACATAGTTGTGAGAATTTTTGTGTGTACTTACTTGTTCAAAGAGCAAACGATTTACCACAATGCTATTTTCTTGCTTGGCAATTTGTCGAGCCAGAAAGGTAAATAAAGCTCCAACTTGAGTAGGCTGTGTGAACAAAGAGATGAAACATAGAAATGATTGGACTCGACACAAACTAAACTATGATGTATAATATTAAATATGGATGCTTGTATTTAAAACCAAAGAAGACATTAATGATGCCCCTCCTAAAATATATATTTTAAGATGATAAATTCTGTGAACATTTTACACTACATTATGTACATATTCTATAAGTATTTTATAGTGACATGTTCTATAGAAATTATACACTAACCTCTGTACATATTTTCCATAGCTGTGTTATGTAGACATTTTACAATGTTACATTTATGTATATATTCTATAATGTCATTCATTGCTAGCTTAATAAAACTTTCTAGTGTTCTGTTTGTACTTTCAACACTAAATTCTATAAACAATTTTGTTACGCTACAGTTTATAGAAACTATACAATGCTATGACCTATAGATACTTCTAAAATTGTATTAAGTCAACATTTCACAATGGTATGTTCTCTAATGTCAATTTAATAAAGCCCTTACAATACTATGTTATTTTACATTAATAAAATAAGTGACAAAAAAATCTTGTATTAAAAATAATTTCTCAAGTAACTTTTTTTAAAGAAATTTAGTAATGTTTTTATTCTAAGATATAGTCACTTTTATTACCACAAGGTGAGGAAAGATTAATAATAATAGTTTGTTATACTTGTTAAAAATAAACATTATAGCTTAAAACAGCCATAGAAATAAAATAAACTATATTTTATTACTTACAGAAAATCCCTCACTCTGTACCATGATCTGGAGAAGTATATCAACAATCCGCTGTTTCTGAGCTTTACTATAAAGTGACCAAGAAAATCATGGGACAGATTAGTTGTAAATTACAAAGAAGTCTAAGATATATATGTGTATATAGAACATAATTCACTGTTTCTGAGATTTACTATAAAGATGTGTTTAAGTAAAATAGAACAATAAAAATAGATGAGGTAAAATCAGATGAAGAGTACCTTCACCTCTGAAATTTTAATTTTTGCTTTATTTAAACATGTGTATAAGCACTCTCAGAAGAGAAGTAAGAGATTTAAACCATTCACCACATGGGGTTAAAAATAGTACAGAATGATTATTAAAGATCAAATAACTTATTTCAATGAAATCCTTTTTAGTTAAAAATTATTGTTAAATGTATATATGATATATTCCTACAAGTCTTGAAAAGCTTTTCCTTGATATCAAATTTCACACAAAGCTTTTCTCATGAGATTTCGTGTTTATTATTTTTTGGCATTATTCATTATAATCTTGTTTAATAAGATTTATATTAATTCAAAATATAAACCACTGCATCAACAACATTCTTAAATAAGACTGTATACATCAAGTGGGCAGGAGGAGGGAGGAAGGGCTGATATATACATGATTTTTAAATTGTGAAATTATAATATTTTAACTACCTCTACATGTAAAGATAACAAAAGCTCCCAGTTGAATGTTTTGATATTCCAGAACTCGTAATATAGAACACACAGATATTCTATCACTGCATTAATATAAAGATAAGAGAGTTTATTTGGTAAAAGAAGATATGATTGACCTGTTTCCAATAAAATGAGAGACAAGACTAACCTAAAAAAACAAAAAAACACATTTTATTCACACAAACAGACAAGATGAGACTAAAAGTCAGTGAACAAAGGATAGTACACAGAACACGAAATACAGAAAAACGTTTTACAAACATATTATTTGTTTTATCCATAAAATAAACTTCAATTTTCATATTACTTACAAGTTCTTTCTTTACTTTAATTGAGTAACAAACACATTACTACTGTTTGAAATTATTGTCAACATGATGTTTATGATACAAAACTGTTTTATAAAAAACTAAAATATTCTCAATACTTTGTGAGGCTACAATAATATAGAATAAGATTAAAAGATACTATACAAAAATACACATATGCTCACCCTGGTTCAGTACTAAACTCTGCCTCTTCAAATGCCTAAAAAGATTCAATAGAAATCAGGAATACAGATCCCAGCAACAATCAAAATACATCTTACAATGCAAATACTGTTATCCATATTCAAAAATGTGATTAAAATGATTCTTTCTTGTTGTGGTTTCTAATTTCAGCTCTTTTTTCTTTATAAATATCAGTAATCTGTATACTGACTAAAAAAGGTACTTTAATGTTTCTTGAGGAACCTACCAATTAATTATTTCAAAAATAAAATAACAGTGACTTTTACAGTAAAAAAATTCTAATTTTAATGATTAAAACATTTCAACGTATGGCTAGATACAGATAGAATGTTTAAAATTTTCAGAAATCCATATATTTGGAGGTGTTATTTTAAGCAGCAAAAAAAAACAATGGGTACATATCAATTAAACAACAAAAACGAAAAACCAAAAGTGATAATAGGGGTACTGTACGTGTCTTGAAATATTGAAATTACCAATGTTTCTTTCAGGTTATATAAAAAAAGTGCTTAAATAGGAAATCCACAACAGCTCTAAACATGACATTTAAGTCTTGTATGGAAAAATCTTAAGACTTATCTCTGAGGGTCTTTCTTTAGAGTTATCAGGAAGTCCCTCACAGAGAAAATTATAAACAATTATTCATCTAGCGTGTGAGGATATGCTAAAAACATGCACATGCTCAATCCCAAAGTAAGTTGTAGCACTAAGAGACAGACCATATAGTCTGATATATGAATTGCAGAACCATATGCACTGTCCAGAGCCATGTAACCCTGCCAGCAAACATGGCTCATTAGTACGTGAATAAAGGATACTTGAGACAAAACACGAAGTCATATTTTATAAAATAAAGATTTCAATAAATACTTTGAATAAAACATTCCTTCTTGCAACAGAACATTTCCTTTCAAGTAGAACTTTATCCAATCCATAGACTAACCATTTCTTGTTTGAACCCACAGTTCAACAATATTATATCAACTAAGTACGTCATCTTTAAATTAGTCATATAAAATGTATAAAAAGTGTTATTTAAAGTGAACTTGTAGATTATATATATATATATATATACACATCTTCTTACAGATGTTGAAAAATTGTTATTGTGCAAATAAACAACTACCACAAGAAAAACTCACCAAAGACAGTACATTCAGGAACTCCCTGGTGTCAAAATACAACAACGTCTTCAGATAAGGATACACAGTCTTATCTGTAACAAAGGGCTGGAGTAATCTATTGTTTCATTTTTTCAAAGCAATATTGTTATATTTATATACTGAAAGAATAAACCATGCAATATATATATATATATATGTATTTTTTTAAACTAATTTTCAGTGATTAAAATATTATGAAATTCTTATAACAAAACATTGAAAACCTTAAGAATGCTTAAAAATTGATAGGAATTTAAAATTTCTTCAGATTAATGCTTTTAAATTGCCATTATGAGAATCAAACTATTAATTTTTCTGTTAATAAGTATAAAAACTCCAACAATGTTTATGTTGAACAATTGTCCCAGGTTAATAGAGCAAATGAACATGACTAGATCCTAACCACTTTCTTTCCTGCTCCTGAGCTTTGTTACACACTTGAATATTTCTGTCTTTACAGAAACTGCCCTTTCTGGTGGAATATCTCCACATGGATAGGCTCGTCCAGCTAAGCAGCAGCTAAAACAATAAAATAAATAAAACTTGATATACAAGTCAGTATGAGAATGACTAGACATAAAACTCACTCCACATATAAAAAAAAGACATTTACCCTACTTGGAGTTATTTGTATAAACACTCAACAAACACCTGCTCTGATGAAAACACAAAGATTTATATTTGGTATTCTACTAATATTAATTAGTATCACTGTGTCAGGTATTTTTAGTAAGACCCACATCAAAACAGTTATCATACAAATTTTGCCAATGTTAACCTAGAAAGCAAACTCACCTCAAAATATTAAATAAACAAATTCCTACAAAGCTATTATATATTCTGCAAATATAAATAAACAAACACTCACCTCACAATATTAAGTACACAAAGACCTACAAAGCTACTACATATTCTGCAAATATAAACAAACACACACTCACCTCACAATATTAAGTACACAAAGACCTACAAAGCTACTACATATTCTGCAAATATAAACAAACACACACTCACCTCACAATATTAAGTACACAAAGACCTACAAAGCTACTACATATTCTGCAAATATAAACAAACACACACTCACTGCACAATATTAAGTACACAAAGACCTACAAAGCTACTAAATATTCTGTAAATATAAACAAACACACACTCACCTCACAATATTAAGTACACAAAGACCTACAAAGCTACTAAATATTCTGTAAATATAAACAAACACACACTCACCTCACAATATTAAGTACACAAAGACCTACAAAGCTACTAAATATTCTGTAAATATAAACAAACACACTCATTTTACAATATTAAGTTCACAAAGTCCAACAAAGCTAATATATATTCTGCAAATATAAACAAACACACACTCACCTCACACTATAAATTACACTTGGTTCTACAACTCTATTACAGGTATTCTATAAACACACACTCAACTCACACTATTACAAGTATACAATACTACAGAAAGATATAAGAATTCTGCTAAGGTTATCAAGCATACAACATTTGAAGTTAGCATTATATAACAGATCTCCAGAACATATGCGAGTCAATAGCATATAAATATTATTTTACAATTTGGATAAAATTCATATATATATATATATATATATATATATATATATATATAATATATAGTTATATATAATA